CGTCTCCTCCTTATTGATCCAGCAAGGGGAGAGGAGAAGTTGAGGAGAGCTCTGGCAGCATGACGGCGTGGTGGAGGAGCTTGCAATTTTCCGGCAGGGCTTCGCCAAGCACTACGGAGGAGGAGGAGGTGTTTGGGAGGGAGAGGGCTGCGCCAGGGGAAGGGTGCAGCAGCCCTCCCACCTCCCCTCTATTTATAGGGGCAAGGGAGAGGGGGGGTGGCCCCCTCCAGATGGATCTAGAGGGGGCGTCCAAGGGGGGAGGCTTGCCCCCCAAGCCAAGGGGACGCCCCCTTTAGGGTCCCCCCAACCCTAGGCGCATGGGCCCTAGGGCGGGTTGTCGCCCAGCACACCTAGGGGCTGGTTCCCCTCCATATTCAGCCCATAGGGACCTCCGGGGCAGGTGGACCCTCCCGGTGGACCCCCGGAACCCTTTCAATGGTCCCGGTACAATACCGATAAACCCCCGAACACTTTCGACGACCGAATAAGGACTTCCCATATATAAATCTTTATCTCCGGACCATTCTGGAACTCCTCGTGACGTCCGGGATCTCATCCGACTCCGAACAACATTCGGTAACCGCATACTAATTCCCATAACAACTCTAGCATCACCGAACCTTAAGTGTGTAGACCTTACGGGTTCGGGAATCACGCAGACATGAGTGAGACAGCTCTCTGGCCAATAACCAACAGCGGGATGTGGATACCCATGTTGGCTCCCACATGTTCCACGATGATCTCATCGGATGAACCACGATGTCGGGGATTCAATCAATCCCGTATACAATTCTCTTTGTCCATCGGTATGTTACTTGCCCGAGATTCGATCGTCGGTATCCCAATACCTTGTTCAATCTCGTTACCGGCAAGTCTCTTTACTCGTTCCGTAATGCATGATCCCGTGACTAACTTCTTAGTTACTATGAGCTCATTACGATGATGCATTACCGAGTGGGCCCAGAGATACCTCTCCGTCATACGGAGTGACAAATCCAGTCTCGATTCATGCCAACCCAACAGACACTTTCGGAGATACCCGTAGTGTACCTTTATAGCCACCCAGTTACGTTGTGACGTTTGGTACACCCAAAGCATTCCTACGGTATCCGGGAGTTGCACAATCTCATGGTCTAAGGGAATGATACTTGACATTAGAAAAGCTCTTAGCAAACGAACTACACGATCTTGTGCTATGCTTAGGATTGAGTCTTGTCCATCACATCATTCTCGTAATGATGTGATCCCGTTATCAATGACATCCAATGCCCATGGTCAGGAAACTATGACCATCTATTGATCAATGAGCTAGTCAACTAGAGGCTCACTAGGGACATGTTGTGGTCTATGTATTCACACATGTATTGCGATTTCCGTTTAATACAATTATAGCATGAACAACAGACAATTATCATGAACAAGGAAATATAATAATAACCATTTTATTATTGCCTCTAGGGCATATTTGCAACAAAAACAACCAGCATAGGCCTAGATGGGCCTAATGCAGGCTACCAAACGCGTTAATAGTGTGCTAAGGCTTGAGGGCTCAGAAGCTGCTCTTTATGGAAGATGTCTCACTGTTACTGCTGCTACGAGCTATGGGCACACGATGCCTCGACTTAGTTTGTTCGTCTTTCTTCTTTTTTAGTTTGTTAGGGCATCTATAACACTGACCCGCAAATTTGCTCCGATAGTTGTCTGCGGACTAGGGCGACCAGTCCGTCGACACTGATTCGAGAGTCGACCATCCAACGCTGTCCGCATACATTTTAACAATTGCTGGAACTAACCGGAGGAAATTCATGCAAACACGGTGGATTCATATAAACCAGACGAAATTCATTGCATTTGACATTTTGGACACTTTAACTCCTCGGCAAGCTGGCTTGGAGCGGCGAGTTGCTGAACGACACGCCAGCTTGGAGCTTTTGCTTCCACGAGCTGGGATGCAGTGGCCTGGACCGCCGATGGAGGTGCAACAGAGAATTGTTTGGCTCATTCTAGCGGGCTCGACGAGCCACCCATTCGGCTTTATGCTGGAGAACTCGTCTTCCTGCTCACCGAATGCCATGAAGATTGTGGAGAAAATGGTGTGCAAGCAAGAGATGGGAGCGGAGTGTGGTGTGATTTTTGCCCGGCGTCTGGCATCATTTCAATAGCAGGGGGCGGCCGGAGCCAATAGGTGTTGTGTTTAATGACGGGTGTCGCGAACAGACGTGTGGCTGGAGTAGGTTTCTTGGCACACACGCGGGTTTTAATGGAGGAAGGCAAGCAGTATGCCGTCGTTTAATGCGGCGAGGAGGCGTGTCCAGCTAGGCGAGCAGCGGGCAGCGCTCTCTTGGCCAGCGTTCGCTTCAATGACGGCAGTGAGAGGGCGCGTCCGTCTGTTCCGCCCACCCGTCCGGTCAAATCGCGAGCATCAATGATGACCGCTGCATGCTCTGGGCCGGCATGAATGCAGCTGCAAGTGGCGCAGGCATTCGATATAAAGCGCAGGAGAGGCGGGTGGGAATTTTTGCGGGCTAAGTCAGACGCGGGCGTGCCAGCGATCTGCACGTTCGCAAAGCCCCCATATTTGTCTCTGATTTTGCGGGAGTAAGTAAGTCCGGACCGCCCTGCGAACCAATACAAGCCCACGTTAGATGACGCAACACATTCAGATAGTGTGGTCCGGACGTAGACGGGTGGTTTGAGGGTCGGCCTTGAAGATGTCCTTATATAGCTTGTTGGTGTTCGAAAATGCTTTTTGGAGCTCGGCCTCCATGGAGGCCGGTTTTTGAAAAACATAAAATTCATGAAAATTCATAATTTTTACAATTCAAAAAAAACTGAAAAAAATACAGATATACATGGAGGCATGACACACATGTATGTAAATTTTTAGGATGAAATACGTTGAAATGAAGGGTGTGCAAAAAAGACAAATCTGAAGCTTTTTAACACATGATACTATTCATCCTCAAAGTCCAGAAATTTGTCTTTTTTATATAGGTCGCATTTCAAAGTATTTCATCTTGAATTCTTACACGTACATACATTTCATTCTTGTATAGTTCCATATTTTTTTTCAGAATTTTTTGAAGTCGAAAAGTATGAATTTTAAATTTTTAAAAAATAAAGGGCTTCATGGAGCTCGGTCATTAAGACGCCCTACTCGTTGGTGTTTGGCTGACATGAGTTTGAACCCTTTATTTGAGGTGGTCCGGTAGTTGTGTAGTGTTTTCTCTTTTATTCTTCTGAACCTTGTGTCTTTCTTAAAGAAAATCGAGGAGGCAGCCCTTCTTTTAATTAAAAGAAATTCTCATCTAGAGAAGACTTTAGTAAACTGTTAAGAGTAACCTGACACCCTCCAACTATTTGGTCGCTGTCCTTACAGAAATGTGTCTTGTTGCCCATCGAAACTGGTTTCCTAAATTCTTTTCAAAACACCGACCAAACAGGCAAAACCGGACGCGACGCATCCCCGGCCAAAAGGCGGACGCCACATGACGAGACGGCTCGTCGGCCTCCATTCCACCTCGTCGTAAACGCGGAACCGCTCCATGATCACTCCGGCCAATCAGGGATAGCTGGACCTTCCAGTCGCTTCCATCCCCCAAATTAGGCTGGTCACAGTGGGGAGGAACTTAGGAGTAACATCACACACTCCAATACAACTTTGCTTATGTGGCACGTATTTAATGAAGAGAGAGGTGCTTGTGGTAACTAGCTAAGTTACCGGAACATCACACACTCCAAGAAACAATGAGTCTATAACCTAATAAATACATCGTTGCATGACACTACATAGATGTTCCTACCCACTATGGAGGTAGTAACATAGTCTAGGGAAGTGTGAAGTTACTAGCTTATGTTCTTGCCCATTGTGACCAGCCTTAAGACCTCTTCCAATGCAAAGGTGCTTAGATGAAGTGCTAAGTACATTAAATACCTTAGCAACTTAAGTCCCCAATGCATAGGTGCTTAATTTGCTATTGCTAAGCACACTTTATTTAATGAGTTAACACCTAAAGTCTTTCATGCATTGCCCAAATTGTTTCATTTAAGTGGTTTGCCTAGGTTCTCGCGCTTGGCATTGGTTTTTTCTGGAGTCACCAAAATACTTTCTCCCCTCCTTAAATGTTGTGCCATGTCACTTTTTGCTTATGTGGCATACTTAGCACCTGTCCACGATGAAGCACTGGGAATGGCCTAAACCCCGTCACGGCACGCAGCAGCAGTGCCACGCGTCCCTCCCCTTCTCCACCCGCCCCACGTGTGCGTCGAGGTGGCGCTCGCCTCCCCGTTCTGCTCCGCTTATATCCCATCAGTCGACCAAGGCTTTCACCATCCCACACACAGCATTTAGCGATCGAGCAACAAGCCAATTCGTCACACTCACAGTGATCAAAGATTTTGAGATTGCCTAGTAGCTGCACCGACGTACGTGCGACGATGGACGCGCCGGCCATGCTCACGCGCAACCACGTCCCCGAGAACATCGCCGGTGAGTAGTGCCACGCCGAATCTGGCTTCTGGATTCCCTGCACGCACGGCGTCGTCATTCATACATCCGTTATGAGTTCGTTGTTGATTTACTTGCAAATGTGTGTGGCTGCAGCAGAGGAGGGCGGGCAGCAACAGATGCACCGGGACGAGAAGCAGCACAAGCCGGTGCTCAAGAAGGTCAAGGACAAGGTGAAGAAGATCAAGAACACCATCGTCGGCCATGGCCACGGCAACGGCAACGGCCACGGCCACGATCACGATCACGAGCAGGACACCGGTGGTAGCAACAGCACCGACGAGGACGAGGAGGATGTGGCGATGAGGGAAGCAGAGGTGGAGAAGGGCGGGTACCAGCAAGACGTCGAGGACAAGCCCATCTTCACGGACTCCAGCCCCGAGCTGCACGGCGCACCCAGTAAGTAGATGCTCGCTATGTTCTGTCCATGTCCCTCGTGTGTGTGTGCATGTGTTGTGTCGGTGCTCAAGGCTTGTATCGCTCGTGATAATCCGTTGCAGTGTACGACTCGGAGAGGATCCTAGCGGCGGCGAAAGAGGTGAAGCACAACGACGCTCCGGGGGTGCGGCTGGGTGACATTGGCGGCCTGGCAGCGGCGCATGGGGTGAAACGCGACGACGCCGCGGGGGAGCGGCTCGGCGACTTCGGCGGCCCAGCGTCGGCGAAGGAGGTGAAGCGCGACGACACCCAGGGGGTGCGGCCCGGCGACTTCGGCGGCCCGGCAGCGGCGCATGAGGTGAAACGCGACGACGTCGCGGGGGAGCGGCTCGGCCACTTGGGCGGCCCGGCGTCGGCGAAGGAGGTGAAGCGCGACGACACCCAGGGGGTGCGGCTCGGCGATCTCGGCGGCTCCGTCGTCGAGGACCCGGCCGCGCCGAACTCGAGGACGCCCATGCCGCGAGGTGGCGAGGACATCGGCACCACGGGCGTCGTCCGTGACTTCGAGGCGATGACCGTGTCAGACGACCCCAAGAAAGTCGACGTGAGCAAAGAGTATGAGGCAATGCCGGTGTCGGACGGCACCGGCGAGGAATGGAACGACGCACCCACGGACGCCGAGTACACCGGGAGCTACACGGACAGGCTCAAGAACACGGCGGCTGGCACGACAGAGTACGGCAAAAAGCTGGCGAGCACGGTGTATGAGAAGGTCGCCGGCGTCGGCACGGTCGTGGCGAGCAAGGCGCAGCAGGTCACCCCCGGCTTCGGCGCTGGCGGGAACGCGCAGGACGACTCCAGCGCAACTGCCGCCCCTGGATCGATGACCGCAGGTGCCGGGAAGAGGGACGTAGACTTGCCGAAAGAGGGAACGCCGGCGTCGTTCACCGGCTCGGAGGGACTGAAGAACGCGGCCACGGACGCGACGGGCACGGAGAGGCTGAAGGACGCGGCCACGGACGCGACAGGCACGGCGGGGCTGAAGAACGCGGCCACGGACGCGACGACGGAGGCCGCGCCTGGCGCGACGTACACCGACAAGATCATGTCCGCGGCGGCGGGCACCACGGAGTACGGCAAGAAACTGGCGAGCACGGTGTACGAGAAGGTCGCCGGCGTGGGAACGGCCGTGGCGAGCAAGGCGCAGCAGGTGACACAATCCACCCCTGGCGTCGGCGCGCAGGACGGCGCCACCACCACTGCGACGGCCACCCCAGGCATCGGTGCGCAGGACGGCGCCACCACCAGGGCGACGGCCACCCCTGGCGCGGGTGGGCCGGGGAACGGGCAGGACAAGGGGGTGACCGGCGTGACAGCCTACATCGCCGAGAAGCTGCGCCCAGGCGACGAGGAGCGCTCCCTGAGCGAGGCCATCACCGGCGCCGTGCAGCAGCGCAAGGAGGGGGTCGGGAGCACGGTGGCCAAGGCGCGCGAGGTCCCGGCACAGGCGGTGACCAGGGCGCGCGGCGCCGTCACGTCGCTCACCGGCGGGAACCGCGTCTCGGAGACCGTGCAGCCCACCACAGGTACGCACGACACGCCCGGTCACCCTTAACCGCAAACAAAATTTCGGCGTTCGCAGCTGAGCTGATGACGACGGGTTCTTGTTCTTGTTGCTGCAGAGGGGAACATCGGGGAGGGCGTCGCGGCGGAGGGGCCGGTGCTTCACGGCGAGGCTCCGAGGACCAACACGAATGTGATCTGAAGTGCCGCAGCGTGTGATCAGTGCGCCGGGGTCGTGGGATCGCTGGAATAAGTCGCCTGGCTGGTTCAGGTGTACACAACTGGAGTTTGGATCTGGGGCTTAGCTGGTTTATCGTTCGTGTATGTATTTTGGGCTTCTGTTCCAGAAGTGTTCGTGTAAGTTTCACACGTTCTGTGTGTCTGTAAATCATGTACGATACGCGTGTGTATGTACATGTTTCTGTCTTTGTCTTTTAAGTTCTTCTGAACTTCCTTCCTGTGTAATCTGTGTGTTCAAAGTTCAAACACGATGTTTCTTCGTCTGTTTTGTTGTGCTCGTCGTTTCCAAATGACGTGTGCTCGCTCTGATCAGCTAACGCTGAACTTCTTCAGCAGCATTGTACTACACCAAATTGGGAAGTTCAGGCCCTGTTTGGTTCCAAATAAGTCACCAACTTATAAGTCTTATTTTGCCAAACAGACCCGACTTATAAGTCATCCCAATTTATAAATTATAAGTTGCTCCACCCCATCTTAAAATTTATAAGTACCCTTTTTGCGTGGGTCCTACCAATGCATGATGTTGATTGGTGTGGGTAGGTGTGTCAGATGACTTATAAGTCAGGTGACAACCAAACGGGCGTGACTTATAAGTCACTGGTTTTAAGTCACCTGACTTATAAATCGGGTGACTTATTGAAACCAAACAAGCCCTCAGTTTAGAGCATAGCCAACAACATTTTTCTTACCTTTCCACAACTTTTTTCTTACCTTTCCACAATAATCTCTACTTCTGTAAAAATCTGAGTTGGTGGCGCTGGTGTTTCTGGCATTTTTATTATCGGATCTGCATCTAACGGTTTTTTCGATAAAGAACATTTTATATATCGAGGTGATACAACCGTATTGAAGAATGCCCGGCCTCTGCATAGCGTGATGCACACAGCTAACATGTCCAACAAGCCTAAAAATAAATATCATTTTACAACAAAAGTAAATCAGTCCAGCCTAGGATGGGGCAACGCCTATCCGGAGACTACACCGCCATCCATGTTAGGAGAAAACCTCACTGGCTGTATGCTCCAGCCGTAGACGCATCATAAAAATGTCTCTGTCCTCCGACCTCTGCAGGATAGACCACATACGGAGCCATCGCGTACACGCATGGATAACCTGCACAGGAGATGAAACACATTTATTGTTAAAAATCACATCATTTCTGGTGAGCCACAGTGCCCAACATAAGGCAACTACTCCCACGAGTAGATGTGCAGAAAATTGTTTATCGATACCCCGCAACCAATAGCCGAACATGTTACGCGCAGTACATGGAGGATATAGATTTGAAGCTACTAGAACTATGACCCAGACTACACGAGTAAACTTACACTCAAAAAATAAGTGTTTGATGGACTCGTCATGTTGGCAAAAGACACATGTCTTGCTACCTTGCCAGTTGCGTCGTGCCAAGTTATCTCTAGTTAAGATGACCCCTCTGTTTAAAAACCAGAGGAATATCTTCACTCTTAGGGGAATTTTGAGCTTCCATAATTTCTTGTTATCAACCGGTACATCAGTGTGGGTCATTGCATCATACAAGGATTTGACTGAAAAGGTACCATTCTGATGCAAATTCCATCGAAACTTGTCTGGTTCGCCTGACAGCTGAATAGCCTCCAGACGATTGAGTAATTCATTCCATGCTACCAGACGAGGCCTAATAAGGTCCCTACGAAAAGAAATATCAGTGTTTTCTTGTCCCAATACTCGTTTGATCGTGACTAATTTATGTCTGACGATCCTATACAAGCTAGGGTATTGCACCATAAGAGGAGTGGCCCCCAGCCAGGTGTCTTCCCAGAATCGAACCTAAGAGCCATCCCTAACCGAGAAAGTACCAAATTGAAAAAAGAATTCCTTGGCCTTCATCACGCCACTCCAAAAATGTGAATCACCGGGTTTCCAATAAACTTGAGAAATGGCTTTAGACCCCACGTATTTGTTACGAATGATTTCCTGCCATACTCCATTCTCAGTGAGTAGTTTGTATACCCATTTACTCAAGAGAGCGATGTTTTTAATCTCAAGATCGTGAATTCCAAGGCCCCCTTGACTTTTAGGTCGGCATAATATACTCCACCTAGCCAGCCGATATTTCTTGGATTCATTATCACACTGCCAAAAAAATCTGGATCTAAAATAATCAAGACGTTGTAGAACCCCTTTAGGTAAGTGGAAGAATGACAACATGTATAGAACCATGTTGCTGAGGACGGAATTAATCAGAATCAACTGTCCCCCATACGACAAGAGTTTGGCCTTCCAGCTGGCTAGGCGTTTCTCAAGTCTTTCTTCCACTTGCTTCCACTCAGCGATAGTTAAACGCCGATAGTGAATAGGAATACCTAGATACCTAATCGGGAACTGGCCGAGCTGACAGCCGAAAATCTCAGCATACTCAGATGCGGACTCTGCAGCATCGCCGAAGCAGAAAAGCTCGCTCTTATGGAAGTTAATTTTGAGACCAGAGAGCTCCTCAAATGCACATAAAAGTAATTTGAGGTTTCTAGCTTTATCTAGGTCATGATCTAGAAAAAGTATAGTGTCATCCGCATATTGTAGAATAGACGGATCTTCTTCTACTAGATGAGGAATCACGCCGCTAAATTGACCGGCCACCTTAGCCCGCTCAACAAGGATAGCTAACATATCAGCTACAATGTTGAACAAAATAGGGGAAGCAGGGTCCCCTTGGCGAAGCCCCTTCCTAGTCTGAGAGTAGTTGCCAACATCATCGTTGACTTTGTTTTTGCATCTAATGGTTAGGAGGCCATAACGGTGGCGATTTTGCACAAAGGCGCCCACACTAAGGTGGATATTTTTAGACAGGGGAGGCGCTCGCACTAAGGTAGATATTTTTAGACAACCCTTGTCGTGCTGATATTTTTAGATAACCCATATCTCTCCCGACTAGCCACATCACAGAAAAAGCTCCGTACAAACAGGCAACAGTCGACAGTGTTAGAACCGATCAATCATGAAGATTGTTGACGGCACTGCCCGACCCTCCTCTCCACCCTATCTCCCACCACTACCACGACTCTCCCTTCGTCTCTCCCGCTCTCTTCCTTCCTCCGTTCGATCACACGCCTCCTCCACCGGCGACCTGTGCAATACAACTTTGCCTCTGGCGGCGTTCGTGCCCAACAAAGCCCCTCACGCCTCCTCCATTTCCTGCTACAGGAGCCCCCTCCCACCACTGCCCCTGACTATGTGTTGCTCATCCTCGGCAACATTACCTACACCTACTACTAGTAAGGAGCACATTTGATGCGGAGCATCCCACGTTCATCCCCATGTACACTCCGACTACTCTTCAAGCCCCAAGTGGACATATGACGAGACCTCAAACATACGCCATTGGACACAAGCTGAATTCACTCCTCTTCGAACCGTCACTTTCCATATGTGAGACATGGCTACTACCTCATCCATGGACCTTGCCTATACTCAGGTACAACCGAGATGACCATGGAGAATCAAAGGACCAAGGACAAGCATGGAAGAGGAGAAGGAAGAAGAGCCAGCTGCTACAGGCCCCGAACATCCGGCCCTTCCCGCAAGGCCGGACATCCGGCCACAGCCGGGACATCCGGTGCCCATCACAGAACGCGTCCAGAAGCTGGACCTCGCCAGCACGGACATCCGGCCAGAGGCCTGGACATCCGGCTCTTCCCGAGCCGCCGGACATCTGGCCCCCAGCCCGGACATTTGGACCCCGCTTGTCCAGAGAGCAACCGTAGGGCACCCAGGCCAGCCCGGACATCCGGCCTCCCAGCCCGGATATCCGGCCCGTCATGAAGCCCCGGACATCCGGCCCCAGCCCGGACATCTGGCACCTGCCTGTGCACAGAGAACGGGCCAAGGGCCCATGTATCCCCCTCTCAGTTACCCCTTCATGGGCTAGCACTATATATACTCTCCCACCTCCTCCTAGTTAGGGTTAGCAAAGGATTAGCTCATTTGAGATAGAGCTTTCCTCATCCATACGGATCTCCTCCTCGTGAGAGACCGCGGCCTCTTTTGAGAAGATCCACCTGGATTCAAGACCCCTTTACGGGAAGATCCCTCGTGGATTCAAGACCTCCTCTCGGAGATGAACTACCGCCACTTGTATCATCCTTTGTTGGATTTGGACCGTGTATCTCTTTGTGTTTCTTGGATCTAGCACATGTGTGATCATATTCGTGTTGGTTGAGTGTTTTCTCTTGTGATTCCCCGTGATTTTCCTCGTTTCCTTCCGCACGTTCTTTGTGTTCCTCGTAGGGATCCTCTCCAAACGTGAAAGATCGGCCCCTAGGGTTCCGCCCTACATCATCTTGGTATCATGAGCCACGTTGATCATGTTTTTGGAGCCCCTGCCCTTTGTTTTCTAGCTTGATTTTGTTGATTTCGTCCTAAATCCAAAAATCCCCACCAAAAATAGCCCCCAAATTTTTTGTGATTTGTTGGTTTTGATGATGTTTTGTTGATTTTGATCCGTGGATTTGCTTGGTTTCGAGTGGATCTAGCATCTCCCCAAGTTTCTGTAACACCCCGAGATTCATGCCACAGTAATCTCCCACTAATCATGCCATGTCATCATGTTTACCTTGCCTAGTTGCCACTTGTTCAAAACATCAAGTCCAAAATTCAAAATTTCTCAAACATGAATACAAAAATGTTCATCATGTGCCAAATATTCCACAACTAATATTGGTGGTGAACCAACATTTTTGCAAAGGGTTTAAGTGGCCTAAACTACTTAAAGCAGTGGCTAAAACAATAGTTTAAATGCCTTTTTACTTTATAAAAATTTCAAACTATTTCAAAAGCCTCACAGCCTTTTTGTGGTAGTGCTAACTATTGCAATGTATTTATGTGGCCAAGTTCCACATTTTTACAAAGACCAATTGGCAGCTCAAAATATTGCAAGCAAATTCTGCAAACATAATTAAAAATAAAACAAAAAGAGAAAGGCCA